GATCAAGTACTAAATATAGCTATGTTGACCAACCTTTGGGGTACTCAAACATTAATATTATAAATAGTAAGAAAGATAGCTGTACCAAATCTATGCCTCAGATTATCTAGCTGTCAAGGAATCAGTAGAAATATTTTATGTAGACTTGTCAGTATTAAAATGTCTATCACTCATGGAGGCGAGTAATGGACTCTGTCCAAAGCCATGATTTTAGGTAATGGTAGAGATCTTTTCCCATTTCTCCGGTTTTATCTGTAATCAAAACCAGAAATCTGTTTATACCCACTCTGTTCTTTTATAATGACAAGGTAAACTATAAGTTATGACAAAACCAAGAACCAGTATCTGGGGGTTCTGCTAAAGAAGACAGAAGTTGACATGTTGAAACCTCGCTTCCTCTGGAGCTCACTCTGTGCAGTAAAGCAGGTATCAGTGTGACATGCTCTCTAGGTCTGAGCATTCACAGAAACTACAACAGGAAAGGAATCCTGCCAGCAGGTCAGGGTGTATAAGCCTAAAGTCAGCCACTTTCAAGTGATAAGGGGCAGAGAATGAAGCCACCCCATCAAGCTGATGGTCAATGAAGTTGCTGGTGACCAGAAAGATGAATGCTTTTCAAACATAATAAGCACCCCCAATACTCTGCAGATAAGCACACCAGTTCCTACACATCACTATTGGGGTTCAGAGTAGGATAGGGGTAGTAGGGGGAAGATTCCTGGGGGCCAAGGTAAGCAGGTTCAGTGAAAATGCACCACAAAGACCAGAGGGAAAGCTCTGGAAACTGCTGGATCATCAGATCGATAGACTCAAAGATGACGAAGTTAGGTTGCTTTATGCAGTTTAAACATTTGTGCAGAGTCTCCCCATGCAGCCTTTTATTGACAGCTACAGATCAATGGTAATTTTTGATCATTTTCAACCTACATAAACCTATTGACCCCACGGCCACCTTTGGGGCACTTCGAGTCGTCAAAAATAATCAGAGGAGATGCTGTAAAATTGTCAGACTGCTGAAGACTCCAAGTAGTTTCGTGTGCCCCCAGGAGCAGAGATGAGAGGTTAAAATGTAGTTCAAATTGCCAGCAGAACCTCCCCTGGCAGCCTGTTCTAGAGAGTCTTTCTTGTCTGTGTGTCTCAGAACAGGGTGCACTGATTTGTATCCAGACCCTGACTCTTACTCATAGTAGTTAAAAGAAGGAAAAAAGAGCCGAGTCTCATTGGAAGTATTAGGTTGCAGAGAACAGATTATTTCTCTTTTCCTTTGTTGAGTCATGCTTTTCATCTGCTGCCTAACAAAAGTTGTTAATATACTTCTAGAATACACAATATAAATATTAGGTGGGTGTGGACATGAAGAGGTATCCCAGAGGTCAGGGATAACAGAGAGAGCAAGACAGATTGATGGATTGGAGAGAGAGAGCTGTGTCTACCAAAAGAATCAGTAGGATGGAAGAGTAAGGGGGTGGAGTGAACAAAATAATGACCAAGAAGAGAAAGAAGTAAGCATGTTGAATTAAAAATGATCTCCATAGGGGAAGACAGAAAGGGAGGAATGGAAGAGAGAAAAGAAGTAAAATGATTTCAGTGAAGAGATTTACAAGTCGGTCAGGCAGAAGGCTACGTTTGCAAAGGGAGGAATTCAGTCTAAAACATTAAAGACTGTCAGTGCTCAAGCGAATATTCTGAACATAAAGAAAAGAGCACATAACTGAGAAAGCGAGACACGACCCAATCCATGGAATGAGCCCTGCCCATGATTCTCACACAGTGAACTTTGGTGCTGGAAATCTAATCAGAAGAAAATAATAAAAATTGTTTCCTAAAATGTCAAAGAATAAATTGGAAAGGGTTGTTTTGCCATTTTAAAAGTTTCTTCATCTAATTTTCATATGGCCTTTACTAAACATGGACAAAAAGCAAGCCTATTAATGAGATTCATTTAAGGTGTGTGTGTGTGTGTGTGTTAGTTCTTCAGAAATAACAAACTAACATGGGAACTTGTCCTCGGTCTAAATGTATGATACAAAAAATTCCCCTCAACATTTCCAACGTGTGATTGTTTTTTTATGTATTTTTTTAAAGAAGTAGACCAAATTAAGCAAAACAGCTGTCGGAATCACCATTTGTAAGAGCAGACCTCTAAACATTTCTGTGCCCGGCAGGGGTGAACTTCAACTTGAGATCTGGAGGCCTTCTTTCCACATTAGACAGTGAAGGTTTTGAGGCCAGGGCATTTGGAATACCTCTGCTTTCAAGGATCTACGCTATAAATGTGCATGAAAAGAATCTATAATGAAATCAGTTGTGTTATTTTTGTAATGGTTGCCCAGCCTGCATTGGGGGACTAAATGCCGTTGGTTAATCATTAAGGACTCCTGCCACCAGAAGTGTTTGCTAGTATTGCCATCTAGGGGCTGGATGAAATTCTCAGCTCCAAAATAAATGGTAATTGAGCAGGTGCTGCTATTGACAATGTACATATGTTTTTGCTTTATAACCCACATGCTTTTCATGTTTCTTATGACAAAAGCCATCTCTAAATGTCCCCAACAGTCTACCTGTTTTAGAGATAATCTGTTAGAGGTGATTACTATTTGCTTTGTACCTTATGCCTTTTTTGGCATCTATTACTGAATCCTCTGAACAAAGAATTTTTCTTTTTTGCATTATTAATCTTGTCCGTGTTTGCCCTATTTCCACAGAAAGGGAATCATTTATCAGAAAAGAGTGTTTGTAATCGGGACTTGTAGCATCTTCAGATTTAATATTCATTGTGGTCATTCGAGTTCTGTGCAGTATTTATCTAAAGGACCAATCCAATGTTGTGGAGAAACAAGTTTTAAATATTTATGATCGAACTTTTAATATTTTAAAAAAGAGAAATTAGTATTTCTGTAAAATTTGTTTCGGAGTCTGGTCACTTAGCAAATGTTTAAATATTAAACAATTTCAGGAAGTTAGTATGTAACATAATGGCACTTATTGAAACAGGAAAATTGACCTTTCTAGTTTCTAATAAGTAAAGGAAATTATATTCTGTGTTTAATGCATAATAAGAAATATTAACGCAATTGAAACTTAAAGATTGTGAGGAAACAATGTCAAAAAATTATTTCTACTGTAAGTTTTGGGGTTTTTTCTAACTATTTTTTGTGGGCAGTGGTTCAGTTTGATTTTGGTACCTCATTTTAGATTTTACTCAAAATGAAATTTGGATGCCTCCACATTAAGGAGAATTTCCATACACATAACTTTGGTAGTCTTGGGTACCTACTCTCAGAAATAACTCTTCTTCTTCACCTCCTTGTTCTCCCCCATGCCCACCAGGAAAAGAGGACAATTTTCACATTTAAACATCTAATCAACCTCACACACCATTAAGTATAAATATCCTACTAAACCAGTCAAAACTTCCCCACGGTTCACCACATCCATGTATATGGCACACAACAGAAAGTGCATATGTGTGTGTGTGTGTGTGTGTGTGTGTGTGTGTGTGTGTGTGTGTGTGTCCCTGTACCCACATTACTGGTTCACTTGCAAACATAGTTCCCATCTGTAAACACACATATCTATCCAGGCCAGATGCAGAAAGAGCACCCCAAGGCTCTTTCAAAACATTAAGATTCTTAGCTCCAGTTAAGTTATGCAAAATATGTTAAATGTTGCTCTCCGAGCAGAAAAGAATAATAATCCTTCCATTCTGTGTTTCTTCTTTTATGTCAACAGAGATCACGTTGTCAAAGCCTAGCTAACAATTACTTTTAGTAAGTTTTATAGTTTCAGTTACGGCATTGCTAACAAATGACAGTATTTCCACGTTTGTATTGGTGGGAGACTTCTCTAAGGGTGTCTCTGCATTTAACAGTCCAGCTGGCCTGTTCTTGTTCTCTTGTATTTGTAAGATATAAATACCCACCAAAAGAATGAGAGAGGAAGGTGAGGGAGACGGGGAGTGTCTCACATACAAATGAATAGCATGGGGAATTGAAGAGAATCAAAGTCATTCAGGCTAAGTCTCCACTGATTCTAGTGTGAGCTGGGTGGTCTCTGAGGCATCACAGGACTTTTCAGGTAATACAAGATCTGTCCAGGAAAAGTCCATTATTAATATAACAAGAGCAATTTGTGTGACATCACTGTAGCTTGGCAGCCAAGGGGAGTGGACTGGAATGCGCATGTGTGAACAATGAGGACTTCACTGTGCTAGTCAGTGGGGACAGTAGATGCTGTTGAGTGAACATGTGCACTGTGTGGCCATGGCATTCAAAATGAGCTAGCAGAGCAATGAATCTGCATCAGATTTTGTGTTCAGCTGGAACATTCCTCTGTGGAAACTATTGGGATGATTCAGAAGGACGCAGCTATGGGCAACTGGTGATTGGCAGCTTTATCACCACAACACACCCACTCATGCATCATGTCTCATACAGAAGTTTTTGGTAAAACATCAACTCATCCAGGTGACTTGGCCTCCCTACAGCCCAGATGTGATGGCCTGTGACTTCTGGCTTTTCTTAAATCTAAAATCACCTTTGAAAGGGAAGAGATTTCAGACTGTCAAAAGATTTAGGAAAATATGACGAGGCAGCTGATAATGACTGGGAGAGCTGTGTGAGGTCCTGAGGGGACTTTGAAGGGGACTGAGGTGTCATTGTTGTATATACAGTATTTATTGTATCTTGTATTTTCTGTAGTAAATGCCTCTATTTTTCATATTGCATGGCTGGATACCTTCTGGACAGACCTCATATATCACAAGTTTTTGGGTTACAGGCTCTGAAAAGGCAAGGATCCCTTCTGATTCTCACTTGGCATGTGCCTGAAATCACATAACCAGGGTGTCAAGAACAAGAAAAAAAAACACATTGTTTTCTTAACAATTCAAAACTCTGCTGCAATATTGGTGCTACCATTACTGATGTGTTTTAGGGAACAACTTTCCAGCTCTTGTTAGCTGTTTCCCAAAGAAAACTAACCTGTCGCTTCTCATTTAGGGAACAAGCCATCAGGCCCACCTGTTTGGGTTAGAACCCTTCACAAGGTATCACATTGGCGTTGTGGCCGCCAACCAGGCAGGAGAAGCTTCAAGCCCCTGGACTCCAGTTCAAACCCTGGAATCTTCCCCGAGTGGACTGAGCAACTTTACCATCCAACAGAGAGAGGATGGCCGTGCCTTGTTACTGCAGTGGTCGGAGCCTGTGCGGACCAACGGTGTGATTAAGGTAACCTCCCCGAACACGAAATGATGTTGGCTTTTCTCCAGATAAACCGAGGGGCCCTGATGTGCCCTCAGGTCACAGTGGGGAAACTCCCTTCTTGGTTGGTGCAGTTCTCCTCAGTAGCTTTTCTGGGCACTTAATCGAAGAACAGAGAGAAACAGCTCACACGTGTTATGCCTCCTATGAACCCAGCCCTGTTTTGAGCTCTCCACGGAGCATCTCATTCCATCGTCACATCAACCCTACTGGGTAGGCACCACCAAACCTCCTGAGACCTGTAGAGACTGTGTAACTGTCCAAGTCAACCCTGCAAATGATTGAAATGGGATCTGCAGCCAGGACGTCCCACCAGACCTGAACTCTGAGTGACCATGTTCTTAACTGCCTCCTGAATTATCCTGCTGAGTGTTTTGCCTGAGCCTTAAACGGAGCTTGCCAAGCAGAAGACAGGAAGTGCCCCTAACATGTCTGCTACTTCTGCCCTCCCCCATGTGGCCACGAGGAGCAGTCCTGTAATGTCACGCCTGTGTAGCCTGCCTGGGAGCCCACAGGCCGAACCATCATCACCCACATGAAAGCTGCCCCTCCTCTCCTTTCCCCATGTTCTTCCCCAAGGCCGATGGCCTCCCATGTGTCAGTCTGTTACCGCCTCTGCCTCTCGTCCCCTCTGGCCCAGGACTGCCACTCACACCCTCGCCCTTCCTTCTGTGGGTCAGGACCGCGGAATTCCGCAGCCTGCAGCTGCTGTAGCCACTCTGTCCCTCCCTCACCTCTCTGCTCAAGGTGGCAAAGATGCCCCCTTTCATCCCACAGAGAACAGTGAAGACTAAGCTGTGACTTTGCATAACTCTTCCCTGACAACCCTGTGAGTGGAATGACAGCAGGAAATCACCTACAGCAAGGACTCAGATCCATCACTAGGTCTCCCAGGCCCAGGGCTACCCTTCTGGGCCTCCCTGCAGGGACCTCCCAGCTTAGACAATGGCTACCTTCCTGCCAAGCCCCAGGCCTGCTACACGTGGCAGAAGCAAGCCACGTTCTTCCAGCCTGCCTACGTGGGACAGAGCCAGACTCTCCCTATTGCGGGGCAGGAGGCCGGAACCTTAGCTTCCATGGCCTTAAAATCCAGCCCCAGCCCTAAGAGTCCCACCAGAGAACAGAGGTTCTTCCCTCACACCCATCATCAGTGCATCTGTCTGTGCACGTGTTTCCTCCCTGTCCCTGAGTCGGCCTCCTCCTGGCATGACAGACAACAGGGATGATATCCTAGTACCTTAATTTCCATTTCACCAAATATTTATTGCATTTTTATTAAGTGCCAGGCATTTATTCAGGAGTGAGTAAGACAGGCAAGTCCCCTGCTGCTGTAGACTTGTCTGTGTGTGTACATAAATGTGGGCGTACATACAAAAAGCAGGAAGCTAGTATACAAGTAAACAAATGAATTTCCATGTGATGAATGCTATAAAGAAAATTAAACAGAATAATGCAATTATGCCAGCTCAGGCTACTTTAGAATGAATGATCATTTGAATTGAGTTGACATTTGAGCTGAGTCCTGAATGACAAGACAGAGTCAGTTGTGCGAAGATACGAGAGCAAAATGTTCCAGACAAAGTGAGCAGCGGCTGCAAGGCCTGAAGCCAGCAATGAACTTGGAGTGTTCAGATAAAGGGAAGGAAGCCAGCGTGGTTGGGGCATTAGAGGGAGAGTACATGGCACTGGAAGAGCTTGGCGGGGGACAGGAGGTGCCTTGTGTCCATCCGTGTGGGCCCCGATAAGGACTTTGGAATCGATTCTGTGTGTGATGAAGAATTACTAGAGGGTGTAGGCAAAGGAAGAGCAGACTCAAATTTATGTTTTTCGAAATCATTCTGGCTGCCGTGTAGAAAATGGACTACAAGGAGACCAGTAGAGTTTGGAAGCTATCAAGGACTTCAGGTAGAGTTGAGTGTGGTGTGAATCAGAGTGGGAGTTGTGAAGGCTGAGAAATATGGCTGGATTGGAGAGCTATTCAGAAGGTAGAGATGACAAGATTTGTTAAGGGACTGGATGTGAAACAGGAAGTAAAAATGATACTTCAGAATGTCTTCTGGATTTTGGCCTCAAGTCACTGACTGGGAAGGTCAGGTTGGAAGATGTGCAGATTTGAGGGGGCAAGTAGACAGTTGAAGATACAAGTCTAAGACTCTCTCAAGAGTTCTTCACTAAGATCGATTCGTTGGAAATTTATCAGCAGACGGGTGGTGTTTAAAGGCATGAGCCTGGAGGAGTTGAGGGGTGGGAAGAAAGTAACTAGAGATGATGAGATTTGGCGCTCAGGAGGAGGATGAGTAGTCAGCAAAGGAAAATGAGAACAGGCAAGTAAGATAGAAGGAAAAGGGAACGAGTGGGTGGTCCCAAAAGTGAAGAGAAATATGACAAAGGCTCTTGAGAGATCAAGTGAAATGAGGGCAGACGTGACCTTGGATTTGGAGATGAGGATGTCACTGTGACTTGACAAAAGATGGAGCAAAGAGAGGGGGAAAGATAGAGCTGGTTGGGGTGGTTGGGGAGAGGATGGCAAGCCAGGGAATGTGGACCGTGACTCTGTAAAGAATTACAGATGAAAACCAAAGCAGAAAAATGGGGTGATATCTGGGGAACTATGGTGTTAAGAAATGTTATTTAAAAAGCGATGAAAGATATGAAAGTGCATTGAAACCGTTATGGAAATGACCCAGTAGAGGGAAAGAAATGCACAATACAAGAGATGATGAGAATAATTATGGAGTGAAATCTGTTGGAAGCAGGGGTGGGATCCAGAGCTCGGGTGACCTCACTGGGGACAGAGAGTCTTCATCTGTAGCAGAAGAAAGGAAGGAAGGCAAATCATGTAACTCCAGAGTCACATGGACATGGACCTGATAGCAGACCACATGAGAACACATCTTCAGAACAGCTTCTTTCTTCCCAGTCCCACACATGGTGACGTCCACGACCACCTGTGACTAAGGGAAGGGAAGGAGGTGTTGGTGGTTAGTGGGGAGAGAAGAAGATATGAAATCATCCCTTTGGAAAATGAGAGAGCAAGTGTCGGGGAAATAGAATAGGATTACCCATTGGCAATCGCCTAGTTAAAATTTATGGTAAGAAATTTAAAGTGAGGCCAGTCAGCATACTTGAGTGTTTTTCACCAAACCTAGTTAGGAGCTTAGGTGCAGAGGGAAGACTGAATTTAACACTGAGATTTAACACCTGGTTAGAGATTTTCCAGGTGAGCATGTGGGGACCAGGGAGTCACAGAGAATTCCAGATTGTTCATAGAATCTAAGCACGCTTTAGGAAACACGCTATTCCCCTTCTCTTAGGTGTGTGGTCGGGGGACCCCAATGAGAAAATCACACCAAAGTACCATAGTTCAATCTATAAAGGTTTCCAGAAGTCTAAGTTATTTCATCTTGAATAACATTAAAGCTACCAAAATTACAGGCTAGGTTAAGCTTTCCTGGGACCCAGCAGCTGGGATGTGTTAACCCAGACCTTCCTCCCAGGCAGTGGGATTTGCATGCCAGCTCTTCTTAGAGACACCTTCCCAGAGAGTCACTGCCATCCACAGGGGCGTGTCCTGGCAGGTGCACCAATGCAGGAAAAGGATGGGGAGTGGGGGGGCTGCTGCTTAAAAACATCCACATCCAAGTTCGGTCACTGCTCGTTTTCCCCAGCGAACAGTGGATGGTGTGGAATGAGAACTTGCTCTATGCCTGTGTGATGGGTGTTCAGATGATGTCCCCCAGAGCAAAAGAAGTACAGTACTTTCTCCGAAGGAACGATCAATTCCTCCATGGCCTACAAGAGGAAACAGAGTGATTATTTTCATGTTCTAGTCATCCAAGTGTGTTTGTATACTTTTGTATATATGTCCGTGTGTGTGTACACACATACACACACATTCAGCCCTGGCACCTTGGTACAAATGCCAGAGCATGCAATGCCGTTTCCCAGTAAATGCCATCAGAGATAGACAATGTAGACAGGACTGACTTAACCTACCCAGGATGAAACCAGAAGTACTTAGTATCTGTCAGATAGTAAGTTTGGATACTATTGCTTATTTCTAAAAGACAAAATAGGACAAAACCCCAAGAGTACTCTCTTACGTCCAAGAATCGCATTCAGCAGCCCGTAGCTTGTAGATACATACATGTGTAAGTAATATGCAACCTAAAATGATAAAACAGGAAAACATGGCCCCTCTTTCTGTGGACTTACATCTTATTCCCCAAATCAATATCAGACCGTTCTTACCAGATTGGGGTCATCGAGACGAGGAGTAGCAGTGGGGAAAGGTTAAGGGGGCAAGATAGTGGCACCAAGAAATCACAGTCTGTGGGTCATCTTCCCTTTGCTTCTCTTCCTGCTGCAGACGTACCACATCTTCAGTGACGGGATCCTGGAGTACACGGGCTTGAATCGCCAGTTCCTCTTCCGGCGCCTGACCCCTTCCACGGCCTACACGCTGACGCTGGAGGCCTGCACCCAGGCGGGCTGCGCGCTCTCAGCGCCCCAGTCTGTGCGCACAGACGAGGCCCCGCCCCACGCTCAGCCGCCTCCCCGCGTCCAGGCTGTGGGCTCCACCAGCGTTGAGCTGACCTGGTCTGAGCCCATTCACCCAAATGGAAAGATAATTCGCTATGAAGTGATTCGCAGATGCTTCGAGGAAAGAGCTTGGGGGAATCAGACCATCCAGGCCGATGAGGACATTGTTTTCACGGAATATAGGACTGAAAGGAATGCTTTTGTGTACAACGACACCGGTTTGCAGCCGTGGATGCCATGCGAATATAAAGTCCACACGTGGAATGCAGCAGGCCATACCTGTAGCTCGTGGACGGCAGTAACGACCATGCCGGCGCCTCCCGAAGGTCTCTCTCCACCCGAGATCACTTATGTATCCATGAGCCCCCCCAGACTGCTGATTTCCTGGGTCCCTCCAGAGCAACATAACGGCGTCATCCAATCCTATCGGCTTCAGAAGAACGGGGCACTGTATCCCTTCAGCTTCGACGCTGTGACTTTTAATTACACCGATGAAGAGTTGCTCCCTTTCTCCACGTACAGGTACACGGTCACAGCCTGCACGAGCGGAGGCTGCCGCACCAGTGCGCCCACCAGCACCGTGACTCCGGAGGCCGCTCCAGCAGGGGTTGGCCCTCCATCCCTGCAGGCCATCAGTGCCACTCAGATCAAAGCATCTTGGTCAGCGCCATCAATCCAAAATGGAAAGATCACCAAATACCTACTCAGGTGTGATGGTCAGGAGTACCTTGCTGGGCAGAGCCTGTCCCTGCTGATCGCTCACCTGCAGCCTCACACTCAGTATAATGTCTCCCTGGTAGCCTGTACAAGCGGAGGTTGTGCGGCTAGTGTGTCAGGATCTGCCTGGACCATGGAGGCCCCGCCACAGGACATGGACCCCCCAAAATTGCAAGTCACGGGCTCTGAGTCCATTGAAATCACCTGGAAGCCTCCAAGAACCCCAAATGGCCACATCCAAAGTTATGAACTTAGGAGGGATGGAACCATCGTCTACACTGGCCTGGAAACTCGATACCACGATTTCACTCTCACCCCAGGCGTGGAGTATGGCTACACAGTCACTGCCAACAACAGCCAGGGGGGTGTTCTGAGTCCACTCGTCAAAGATCGAACCAGCCCCTCAGCACCTTCAGGGATGGAACCTCCCAAATTACAGGCCCATGGTCCTCAGGAGATCTTAGTGAACTGGGACCCCCCAGTGAGGACCAATGGCCACATCGTCAAATATACCCTCTTCGTCCGTGAGCTGCTTGAAAGAGAAACAAAAATCATACACATAAATACAACTCATGACTCGTTTGGTACACGGGCATTCGTGGTCAACCAGCTGGAGCCGTTTTGCAGGTGGGTAGTAGCTCACTGTAGGTTTGTGGAGAGCAAGCCATTGTCCCTTCCATGGTGTGAGCCCTGGGTCCGTTCAGGTGCAGACACTAATAGCCAGATGTGTGACATCCCCAGCCCCCATCCACTTAACCATTCACAGCGGATGGACCACATCTTCATCCAGTAACCACCTGCTTGCATAACTTCTGGAGAGCAAAATTCATGCAGGTGACATTTGGAGAGTCAGTTCCGCACCCCCCCCCCCCAGTAATGTCTGCACCTCACAAACTTGGAAAAAGTAGCACGGAGATGGAGTCATTTCTTAAACCCGGTCCCTCCTGAAAATAGGCCCCTGGACCATTCTGAGAGCCTCAGTGGGGTTAGCAGACATAGGCTGAGGAGAAATTAAGGTATTATTATAAAAAATTTAAAAAGTGCCAGTGAGTGAGAGAGGTATTACCAGCTCAGGTTGGACTGACCCAAAATTAATTCTGGTGGCTCCCTTGTCCTGGAACCTGGCTCTTCTTCCAAAGAGAATGATGCTCCTCTGACCGTTTCTTCAATCCCCTGGGATTGGTGAGGATGGTCAGGAGGCCCTTGCTGGCTGGTGACTTCATGCCCTCAGGGCTTCTCGGGACAGGGCCAGTGTTCAGCTCACATTTTCTCAAGGGTCCCTCCTGCCCACTAAGTCCTGCTCTCCACGTGCAGGAACCTGCCCCCCCCAGCCCTGTTCCCATGACTTAAAGAAGGGCTCAGGAGCTATCCTCAGCACATTTCAGGCCACTTGCGCCCCCAGGGAGACGCTACTACAAGATATTTTATGCTTAAATTTTAGTAAAATGAACAGAATCACTTGAAAAAATTAAAGGCTGACTTGATTTCTAACCACCATTGGAGAAACGCAGCTATTATTATAATCTACTCATGTGTAGATTGGAGCCTTCTATAATTATGTCTGTTACACGGTACTGTTTAAATGATGCATTCACAGTCTTCCGCATCTACTCATGACAGTTATTTAGGGTCGCGTTAAATATTAAACAGTCATTAAAGCTTCTGCCAATATCTTCTATGGTGAAGCCACATGCTCCACAGGTTGGCTTTTATTTTTCCCTGATTCAGGGCATAAAAGGGCCGAGTTAGCTGCAGACTCTGTGTGCTGTGTGCTTGCTTGCTCTTTACCTGGCTGGTGCCTGAACGTTTTAAAAATCATGCCAACTAGCTGCTCTTTGAAACTGTTATTCAGAAAGATTTCTGGAGAAGAAGAGGGTTTTCAGGTGTGAGAGAAACACTTTTCCCAGGCTGAAAAAAAAAGTTTGCTCTATCTCATAAACCTAGCAATCACGTTTAAGGCAAACAGAGATGTCTCTCTTCATAATCCACCATCACTGAAGATATACGTGACATCACTGACTGAAGTCAGAAGGTCACTTGTGTGTGAAATTGGGATTCACATACGTTTGGGTTCTCCCAGCAGTTTCCCATTTCCTGATTAGCGTGACCTCCTGCGGGCCCGCCACGCCCACCCCCACCGTTCAGTAGCAAGGAGGAGATGGCGAATCCCTGAGTGGCAGCAGGAATCTGACCCAGAATTTTCAGGCTACTACAGATGCTTCCAAAAACAGACATTCCAGTTGTGGAAAATCAAAAGTGACTTCGGAGAATCTCTTAGAAGTCAGATCTATACAGAGCAGTGGATTTGATCACCACTAACCTGGTAGCCCCATCAAGGTACGGATGGGCATGAAACAAGAGAGAGAGAAAGAACAGAGAAGGGGAAAGGGAGACAGCAGTGACTCAAGGAAAAAAGACAGAAGGCGGAAAATAGAAGAGAAAATGATCCCCAAAGAAATAAAGGGCGAAAGAAAGATGCTTGAGGGCAAGTTAGGGTTGCCATGAAATCAGGGGTGGGGGGCATGGGCACAGAAGCAAAAAGCACTCGTTTGCAGCCATAGGCACTTAAAGGTGACCAAAGCCCCTTTCCATGGAAGGGGACAGTCCCTGGTATGTAAATAGACCTTGGCAAGTGGCAGGAGAAACATCACATAATTGATTGGTTGAGTTTAACTGGATGGTGATAAAGGTGTCTCAGTGATGGATCATCAAGTGTGCGGCTGGGTTAACTCTGGCCCTGAAAGGTATCTGTGTGGTGCGAGGGAGCCTGTCATACAATGTCAGGTATCAGGTGAGGGCATTGACTACCTGGGAGGCCTGAACCCCGTGGTGTTCCTTCAGGACCTGGAAACGAGCCTGGGGAATCTTTCAGCTCCAGCTGCAGGGTAGGGAGAGCCCAGGGCTGCCGGAAGCTGGTTCACAGTCCTCAAGACCTGCCTTCTTCATCGCTGTTTGGCATTTCCGCAGACTGAAAGAACACGCGTGCAGGACAGAATCTTGAAGGCTTATTTATTCCATATACTAGGGAAGGATCTCCTAGGAAATCTAGGAGAATTTAAAATGTTCCCCTTGGCTGGTGTCGCTGTGGATTGAGCACCAGCCTGTGAACCAAAGGGTTGCTGGTTCAATTCCCAGTCAGGGCACATGCCTGGGTTGCAGGCCAGTTCCCAGTAGAGAACATATGAGACGCAACCACACATTGATGTTTCTCTCCCTCTTTTTCTCCCTCCCTTCCCCTCTGTCTAAAAATCAGTCCATTAATTCATTAATTGAAATGTTCTAGAATTTTTAGGGAAATATGACTTATTTACCTTTTTTTAAAAAAGGGTCAGCCATCAACAAGAATAAATATAAACTTCCATGCCTTTTTATCCCAAAACTCTTGGTCTTTTAAAGATTCTTCGCACGAAAATCGCTTTGCCAATAATGGGTCGTTTCTGCCTGTGTCCTGCAGGTATGAAGTGCGGGTGCAGGCCTGCACCGTGCTGGGATGTGCGTCGAGTGACTGGACACGCACCCGGACCCCCGAGACAGCTCCTGCCATGCAGCCTGCCCCACACCTGGAGGTGCGGTCGGCTCCAGGGGGGCTCCAGCCCACGGTTTCCCTTTTGTGGGCAGGACCACTTCAGCCAAATGGACGCATTTTGTACTACGAGTTGTACCGAAGACAAAGCGCAACCCAGCCAGGACAGCCAAGCCCAGTTCTAACCTATAACGGAAGCACAAGCTCGTTCGTGGATTCCGAACTCCTGCCTTTCACGGAGTACGAGTACCAGGTAAGAACTGTGCGGCATCGGCACCTGAGACTACAGTTCTGCACACACGTCGGCACCTGCCTGCAGAAAGCGCTGGCAGTTTGAAAAGCCGCTTAAAGAAACACAGGCCTTAAGGAAGTTAACAACATCCCTTTGATAATGTTTGAGCAGTAAATGAGGGAGGAAAAGCCATATTCACTTGCCTTCTTCATTTTCTTGGTTCTTGATCCGTAGGCTTGTTATTCCTTCATAGGTTTCAGGCAAAGCATTCCTGTGTCTCATGGATGAAGTGGTTCCTGTCATTCAGCTTCCCTCTACCAGAATTGTCTTGGTAGGAAATGCTTGTTGTTAAGGATCACTTGGAAAATAGCTCACTCATTGTACCAAGATGGCATAAAATCTCTATCTGATGCATCTCCAGCATTATCTCCAGCCCTTGCGCCCAAGAAAGATGTGGAATGTTAAGAGAAATCTAGAGGAAAATGACCAATCTTTGTATGGGGATGAAGCAAGTTTAGTCCAATGACGGCCTCAAAAGTAGGACTTTGCATGTCTCTAAAAAGCTAAGAATTAAGAAAAGTATTCTGAAAGTATTTGGAAATCTATGGAGGGCTCGTGTTAGGTTTGTTTTGTTTGGCCATCAGAATGCACCTCCTGTGTTCTTGTAGGGCCAGCCCCACTTCCTCTGGGGGAATGACTCAGTTTTGCTGGGAGTGGCCATCAGTGTCAGGCTGTCCCCTAGCCTAGTGGTGGGTATGTGACTCAGACTCGCCTGGGGCTTGATCTTCAGCGGAGTGACTCAGAATTTTAAGAGTGGGGGTGAGAAGTCCTGATAAAATACTCCTAGTCTCCACGTGAAACCTTTCCTTATCCCTGCTACTTCCAAGCAGGGTTCTTCAACCGGTCTTTTCATTCCACGTCCTCCTAATAACTGTGCTTCTGCTCAGGTCAGAGTCAGTCTCGCTCACTGGCAGTCCGAGGAAGGTTACTGAGTGTCAGGCACAATGCCCAGTCTGTTTGCCAAAGGAGAAAAGTGAGCCTTGAAAAGCTTGCCATACCGAGAAATAACAAAATCACTAAGTCACCTGAACAGGGTGAGCCAATCGATGAGGACAGTGATTCCTGGTAACATCTGAAGTATGAAAGAGTATATTTCGGGCTAATGATGTATGGGACAAATTACCCCATGAAGTTAGTAAGAATTGAAAATGTAGATTCTTGAAATATTTGGAGAAATACAAATCCCTAATCCCTTGTTTGAATTTCTAAATCTAAAAATCTCTTAAAAATAAGTTCTAAAAAAAAATCTGGGTTTGACCAAACTCACGTGGCAACAAAACCCACTCTAAACAAATTTGAGACTATTTAAAGCATTTATATATCCTATTTAATGTGAATATTTGTATATTTTCCTGCAGAAATACTGTGTTTCATTATCAGATAATTCTGGAGACATTACAGAATATGTAGTGTATACATTTTATTACCTTCGCAAAATCTCAAAGAAACAAAATTATTTTAAAACACACAGGGCCCCAGGGTTAGGATAAGGGCTGTGGTTTATGTCACGAAGAAAGAAAACGCCTGTTGATGTCTCAGCTGGGGAACGAAAACTGTGAGGAACAGCCAGAACCCACGTGGCCACCCTTGTTCTCCCTGTCTTTCCTGAAACATGTCACATTATCAAAGACCCCTCTATTTCCAATCGTCTCACCCTCTTATGAATAAAACCCACCTTGTGAGAGATCTAGGCAGAGTCAGCCTGAAATCTTTGGATTCTAATTAGAACGAAATGACCCACAGATGCAGAAGGCAACCTAGTGGTTGGAGCGTCTTTCTTATCCTGCGGCACCATCGGGTTCCATAGCTGGCCACGTGGTCTCTAGAAGTCTCATCTCAGTTTTCTGAGGAATGGTAAACTCCAGGCATGTCTCTGAGCTCTAGTCAGTTTTCCAGTCGGGAGCTGAGGGACCCACATCCAGAGGGCAGACGAGTTAAGGACCTCAGGCCACACTGTCTCTTTTGTCACCTTCACTTTCACCTGTGTCAGGCTCCTCCTCTGTATTTATTCCACCCGAATGGAAGTATTTCATAGGATCGTCCTAACTGATCTCAAATTTGCATTTATTAGCTAACCCCATGTTGTTACAACCTAAGAAGGATAGAGAACAGGGAAGAAAAAGAAAAAAAACTAGCCTGTCGGCCCCCAAACCCAGTTCTTATAAGAATTAGTTTGAAAAGTATAGATTAAATGCTGAAGTAAATGAACTAAAATATTGGATTTATTTAGCCTGTGTAAGCTGAGTCTATATGGACCCTGAGTAATCTCACAGAAGTCACTTACTAAAAGAATCGATTTCCCTTTTACGAAAGAGCCTGTCGTCTCTGGGAGGAAGTTGTGCGGCTCACACAGCCACCTAAGGGCTCTTTCAAGTTCAGAAACACCTTCATGGTCATGGATGCATTGCTCCACGCATCACCCGTCAGTGACTTGACTCCGGTGCAGAGGCTTGTATTTTTGAGGCAATGCATACACGTGGAGCGAATAAAAACCCAGAACTGAGATCCTGTCCAGAGCACAGGGCCTGTTAGTCAGAAGGACTGAGATGACCGGTGGTAGGGCAGGTGGCCATCCACAGTGCCCATCCCTGTCCCCTCCTGCGTGGCCCCAACAGGATACTGACACACCCAGTAGGATTTCTCCCCACAGACAATACCCATTTCTGTCTTCATCTTTTTCAAAATTAGGCTGTACTAATGTGTACAAGACCAGCCTGCAAACTCCACTCGGGGAAGTTCTTAATTGCTCAGCAAGCACTTGAAGGCCATGATCTGTCCGCAGGCATCTGCGGGGCACCCAGGCGTGAGCTCCCACCCTGAGACCTGCAGTTTTACCTGCGGACAGTGAGCTGGGGCCCAGGCGCTTGGCAGCCCTGCTCTCACACTCATCTCTCGCCTAAGGCGGTGACTCACCACGGGTTCCTGGGGACCTGCTGTGACTTGCCTTTCCTTCAGATCATGCTGTGAGTGTTCCTGCCACTTGCCCGCTTAGGCAGCTTTCAGCGATGAGCACCTTGCACAGGCAGGACATCCAGAGGCTTCTGGGGCCTTGTGACTGAGGGGTGTCTGAGAATTGGAAGGTTGGCGTGGGAAGGGCCTGGGGTAAGCTCTCATGAGTGTCTGCTCTGTGCGCTGGCACTGTGGGGGCCCACCCGGGGCAGCTGCTCTCCAACAGGCCTGTGCTGCTCCCAACTTTTCTGTGTGCAAGGTATGCAGAAGAGGGTGGAGGGGACAAGGGGTCCGCACTGTTCTGCCAAAGCAGCCATCAGGACCATGGGATGGGGGCAGAGGCCATCTCTGCACCAGCCCCCCAAAACCTACCAACGAGGGGGTGAGGAGCTAGAAGGGAGGAGAAGCAGCCTGTAGCCCTGGGGTCACTGCTTCAGCCTCCCCGAGCGAATGAACCTCATCTGCAAATAGGAGCTCCCTCCAGCTCTAAATTCTAGGGGCCTCTATAGGGATAAATTGTAACCCTACACTTTTCATAATTCTGATCACACTTTACCTTCCCTCGACAGACCTTTGTAATCTGTAGTTTGTAAAACCTGACAGAATAAATTTTGACCCTGAGCAATTGGATTTTCCTGACAGTGTTTAGCTTCAAGTCCTATCAAAGTAAGCAAATCTATCACACCAGCTTCAGACACTGAATAGGTACATGGTTATCCACCATCAGTGCACATATGGAAATGTTGGTAATGGCGTTCAGTATCGAAACCTGGACTATGTATTTACTACATTATAAATATATTGTAAACTATAAGTGAAAATAAGTGGTGAATCTCATTGACTCCATTTATTACATACTAGGGTCCCCTTAGGTCCTTGGGAAAACCTACCCCCTCAGTCAGGTATCATGTCTATTTCCTTACAAGTGATAAAAAGCCAGCTTTAACTAAAACAAAAGAGAATTGTTTCTGCTCACTTGTCTGAGAAAGGAACTGAAGAAATTCCTTGAAACCAAGGAAAAGGTGAAAATACCAGACCCCCCAAAAGGACTGGGGGTGCAGGACTCCACACTGTTCAGTTCGTCTGCTCTCTGCGTCCTTCCTCTTGATCCTGCTCTGTTTGGCTTCATTCCACACGCGACTCTCTCCTGGCTTCAGAGAAAATCATGGCTGGCGCTTCCTGGTTCAAGCCACCCCTGGGCCTCTGTGTCTTTGTCCTTAAAATGTGAATAGGAGCAGTGTTGAATTATGGGTTTCTTTTGGGACTACATGGGTTGACATATAAATGTGTTTAGGACAAAGTCTCAAATGTAGAAAAGACTGCAGTGATAAAATGATAAGAATAACTGTCCTTGTTGTTGTTATTACCACCCTCCCACCTCAGGGTGGAAAGAGAGCCCTTCTGGCCAGATATCTGCAAGTCAACCGAGAGCAGGACACATGCCCCCCACCCCGCACATGTACCTTCCTGCTACCAGGAGGATGGGGGACTGGGACTGAACTGGCCGGTCCCAGGACCCCGCTTTCACCATCTGGCCTTGAGGGGCATGTGGGGAACTCTCTCAGCCTGAAACAGGAGCTGGCCCGCACTGTCCCATGACCAACCGTGCTCCTTTGTCACACGGAGACTTAGGCACAAAGCCACACAGGCTGGGCAACAGGCCTAGTTTCCCTGGTCCCCACTTTTGTCATTGAACGACGGGTGTGTTAGGAGAACTGAGAAACCGCACGGGTCCGCCCCACAGTTGGCCCCCCGCCCCATCTGCACTCCGGCCCCCACGAAATAGAAGGAGGAGGTCCTTGCTTCCTGGAGGGCAAAGAGCCGAGTGAAGGGTGTTCTTCTGTGTCCATCGGTGAGGTGTGTGGATGTGGTGTCGGGATGTGCAAATCTCTGACAAAGGGCACCGGGCTCTGGAAGTGGGGAAGTGCTCACCCATTGGGGGAGGTGAGCAGCCTGCCTTGGCCTCCCCTCTGCTCTTCTCGGGACAGAATAAACAGCCCCACAGCCATGAC